CACACACACACACACACACACACACACACACACATACACATACACACACATACACACCACACACAAATACACATTTGTTGCACACACACGGAACGTGCATGTGCACATGAAGCTAGCTCATCATAATTTTTAAAATACATAATTTAATGAGATGGTACTGCTCTTGACTTCAAGACCCAATTTCAAATTCCTGTCAAGGACAGACGATGAATGGCGATATAAGAACTTACATTTAGGGACAGAGAGGGGCAAAAACTCCAGTTAAAACGCCCACTTGCACATGCAATGGTAGTCTGGATTGTATGGAGTCATTTTGTTTGTTGTTTTTTTCTATTTTTCTTCTTTTTTTTATTTGGGAATTAGGGCAGATTTTGCGAGGAGGAGACAGAGAGCGTGTGAGAATGTGAGAGGCAACTAGGGTAGATGAGGAGGGGTGGAGAGAAAGGGTTTGGGTTGAGGCTAGCAGGAGGTGAAAGCTCTAGAGAGAGGGAGAGGATTTTATTTTTGTTTCTTTCTTTGGTGAAATCGTATGGGTTTAACGCCCCTATCAACACTATTAGGTCATTTAAAGGGCGGGACCTCCTAGTTTAACGTCCGTCTCCTATAGGACCGAGCCAATTGGGAAATTTGTGTAAAGTGCCTTTCCCAAGGACACAACGTGGGGCCGAGCTGAGGCTCGAACCCCCGAACCCGCAATCTAAGTAAAAAATCTTACAATTACGAGTCCGGTAGCCTAACCACTAGGCCACCGACGCCTCGTTTCTATCTTTGATTTTGTAAAAAAAATTAAAAAATTAAAATTAAAAATTAAAAAAAATAAAGAAGCAAGTCGACAAAATTATGTTAATTAAATTTTGTGCAAAGGAATGAGTAAGGACAGGCAGACTGGCAGCAAAAAACGGATGGAGAGTTAAGAAGTTGGACGTACCATTGGCACACAAGGAGTTTAGAGAGAGAGAGAGAGAGAGAGAGAGAGAGGGGGGGAGAGATGAAAAGAAAACTAAAAGTAAAAGCGACGGCGAGATTATAACACCTTAATAAGATTGAATCGTACGTGAAGAAAGACTAAAAATTAAAAGACAAAATTAAGAGACAACACAATCAATATTAATCTAGATCCAATCAATGTAGTTTAATGTTGCACAAGATCGTTTAACTCAGTGTCGGGGCGCAAACAAAACTGAAACCGGAAATGCAGGAGATACCTATTCACATGTCATTTGATTTTAGCACAGTCTTCGTTTTGTAACTTCCTTGCGTAGGCCTAGCCTACGACGACTTACGAGTCTAGATCTAGAATCTAGTTCAGGAGAAGAAACGGATATTTTCATGTCCATCTAGTGCTCAAATTAGTAAATTTAAATCCCCCCCCCTCACCACTTAAAAAAATTGCTTTAGATCTAAACAACTTTCAATTTTATTACTTAGCCTTTACAAAATAAATATCCCGATAGACTGCGTCTCTAATGTTGCCCGCTACCATACAAAAATCTGGGAAAGTTGCGAAGCGGATGTTGGAAATCGGAAAGCACCAACAGCAGAGCAGAATAGATCTTTCATTGTTGATTGTTGTTCTCGTGCATCTGTGTAGAGACTGAAAGTGAATTCAGTAGGCTGTATCTTTGTATATTTTGAGTCCTAAGAAGACACAATGCACCTTACAGTCAAAATACTCAATGGAGAAGAATGTACCCTTGCGGTAATTTCTTATGTGCTGTTTTCTACTCAACTTAAACCTTGTTTCTTGGCAGTCTTGGACACTTTCTTGAGTGTCTTGGACACTTTCTTGAGTGTCTTGGACGTCTTGGTCTTGACTTTTTAATGAAAGTCTTTTTGTGGACTTCACACTTCACATCTCTAGCCTAGAATCTACATTTCTAGATCTAAAATCTAGATCTCTAGATCTAATCTATTTGACTGTGAGAGAATAATCCCGCTGTATTTGCCAACCTTATTCAGTACAACTCAGTGACTCAGTTCATTGTAATTGTAGTGAGAAAGGTTCTGCAAAACTGAAAGTGTGTTTGTTTATTTTAAAGATTTTTACTGTGATTTTATTTTCGAAGTGGCTATGTGTACGGCCCTCCCGTACTCTTAGCATCGAGGCTATAGATGTGTACGGCCCTCCACTTCACTATAGTATAGTGTAGCTAGGCTTTGAAGGCTATCAAACCGGACACTACATGTGGGTAAACTTAACTCATTCGCTACGTATTATTTTCGGCTTGTAGACGAATTTCTTTCGGGAGGGCGAAATGAGATGATGACTAGATCTAGTGCGCAGTTCACAGGTCTTGGGGGCCATAAATTCAAATAAATTCAGCATATTATATATACCAACATTTTCAGTATGGTTTGTTTGTAGAATACATCTATGTTTATCTGAGTATTTTTCAACTTTGGTTCCTGAAAGAGGCGATTATGCAGCACAATTGTGATTGGTTGCGGATACAATTTGAAAACAAAAAATTTATAATCTCAGATGAAACTCAAAAAATATGTTTGCACCTAGATATCTAGAATTAGATCTAGATCTAGTCAAATTATACATCAAAATAACCATAATATAACTGTATATATAGAACAGGAGAATATTGAAAAATGAGCAGTTATTTACATACATACATTCCATAATATTTGTACATTTGAATCGTATCCTCCTATATTGAAAAAAAAAATTTTTTAAAATAATTTTGAAAAAAGGATCCCAAACAGAAAAAAACACTCGTATCTTATTTATATGGAATTATTCAGAAGGAAGAGGCTAGCCGTACTTAATGACCATCTGGTTCTGCTGGCTCTAAGCTTACGCCATGGCCATGCTGCTGGGGGAGGAAGGGGAGTAAGGGTGCAATTTGGGGGTAGATGTTACCCCATCATGTGAGCCCTGAGCGATGCAGATGGTCAGGGTAATGTGTGTGTGAAATCTCATGACTGCCCGTGAGAGTGCTCAAGTAACAAGCCATTACGGAAACTTTCCTGTGTAGCCAGAAGACAGAGGTGTTAAGTAGTTTGACCAATGCCTGCCGCCCTGATCGTACAGCCAGCCGAGAAAAGAGTTCCTCGAATCGTTGAACGGCAGTGAGGGGTGGCATTGGTTAACCGTGCTTGTTACACCGATGGGTGGGGCTAAGGGTGGAAGCAAAGGAGATGTTCAAACGTTTCTGTTTTTTAACCCTCTTAGCGCTAAGCCATTTTTACCATTACTTTCCTGGTGCTAGGTTTATTTTAGAAAAATGCTAATTTTCAACATGGCTATAAAAAAAGCTCATATCTTTCTTATTTATCATAATTTCTAATTACAGTACTGTAAGAAGGAAAAATGTGTCTTAAACAATGAACTACCCTTATATGTTTGGTCAGATGTGTTTTTTGAAAATGTTGTTGGTATAAAAATTCTCATCATTTTTAGTCCAGCTTGCTTGGAGATCAGCAGAAATATCGATGTCCCCTACAGGGCTTAACCTCACTAGATCTACGACATGTATGATGATATCCCCATCATTCACACGTAGATCAAAATCTTTTATTTGAGGACCTAATCCTTCTAACTCTTTATCACTGTGGTCTGATTCCAGAAAAATGTTGGGTAAATCTGTGTCTAAATCAGCTGTCGAATCCAACATTTTGAAAACTGTAAACAATATCCCAGAAAATTGCCGATAAAATACTCCCATCCGATCCCTGACTGCAAAATGCGCGGCCAGTGACACTAATTAACGTTGCACTGGTGGACTGTAGTCACCAGCTGTTTAAAAAATGGCTATTATCATGTCAGAGGTGTAGTTTCTACACTCATGTCAGATCACGACCGGTGGTCGCTGGTTGTGATGCGCACGCAGAGGGTTAATAGGTTAAATAATGGTCCAATGAAAGGCAAGCACTGGTGGTAACTGGATAAGTAAGACTGACGCATGTCATTATCAGAGAGAGCAATTGAGAGGTTTGAGGTTTTGACCACTGCTTGCTGATCGGACAAGCGATCCTTGATCCCACTGGCTGGGCCTTTGAATTCCCCCCCCGCCTTTCCATCTCCTCCAGTGTCTATTACGGAATTTTTGTCCCGCGATTCCGTCTTATGTTCGACTGTATTTTTTGGGGGGGGCTTTCCATTCAGAGAGTTGAGGGAGGTTTATATATGGTTTTCCGGTCATGGTCTTGTAAATTCTAATCGTTATTGTGAATGATTGAGTGCACAATGTGTCTTTTAATTTTTAAGTGTTTTGCAATTTCTTATTATGGCTCAGATTTGTAAATCTCAGTCCTTCTTCTTTCTAGGCTTCTCCAAGTAGTCTTGTTAGTGATGTAAAAGAACAGGTTCAAGCTTTGATGTCTATACCAGTAGCAGATCAGAAGTTGTTGTTCAAGGGAAAAGCATTGATGGGTGAGTACTTGAGCATGTTTGGTATTTTGAAAGGGAACCTATCTATCAGACTTGTCGAGGTGGAGTCCTCATATTTACAAGCTTCGTTTCAATCTCAGACAGGTTAGGCATTTCCTGAAGTGAATTGAAAACTGTCCTCATGTTGTTGTTTTTTTTTTTGTGAGTTTTTTTTTTTTGGGGGGGGGGGGGTTCTGATACAAGCAGGCAGTGCTTTCAGTCTTTACTTTCTGTTGTAGTTTCCCGCTCTTTTGTATTTGTTGTACATTTTTATAACGCAGTGGCTACGTTCTCGGCACAGCGAACGTAATCTGCAGGCTACGTTCACGGCGCTGTGAACGTAATTGGCAGGCTACAATCACGATGCCCTGAATGCAGTTTGCAAGCACGGTCGAGGCTACGTTCACAGCACGAAAGCTTCGTTCAGGGGGGGGGCGTCCACTGCCATTTAAAAAAAATAATTTTTATAGTGGAGGATTTTACGGTACTTGCTACTGCATAAGGTCATAGGAGCGCCAAGAGGTGGGTGTCAACAGAGAAGTCTTTACAGGGAATCAGACTTACACTGCTCACCTCTCTAGCTTTAACAGCACAAGGTCTGCTTCGACTATCAAGGCACCCCGGAGATAACAGGTCACAAGAGAGTGACAAACATACAAAAGAAGTAGAGGAAAATGACAATAGTAAGGATCAGGAAAGAAAAAGCAGTTCCCTGTCGCAGATCAGGAACAGTTATGAGCGTGACATGAGTCAGCCCATTTACAATTCTACTATGCTGGAACGAGAAATGTCCCCCCTTTGGGAATGGCCTAAAGACACTACAGTCAGTGGCACTGCCCCGGGGGGTAACTGCCAGTTTAAGTCAGCCGGTTTTAGTCAGTGACGACAGTGATGTATATTTAATATTTTAGCCAGCTTCAAGTGTTCCATCCCATGAGATGAAGGAAAACGAAACGCCCCTACAGAATTAAAGCCAGGATATGGGATATAGAAAATTGGATATGGTACATGGGAAATAAAAGGTGAGAGGTGGGGAACGGAAGTTGGGATTTTGAAGATGGGACTGGTCATAAAATGTGTACAATAATGACTGTATTGCACCGGGTCAGCTTGGGCACCGACACTGAGAGAAAATGATGGGAATCAATTGTTCTTCTTATAATAACAAACACCCTCTCTCTCTTTCTTTCTCTCTCTCTCTCTCTCTCTCTTTCTCTCTCTCTCTCTATTTTTCTCTGTCTGTCTGTCTGTCTGTCTGTCTGTCTCTTCCTCCCTCTTTCTCCCCCCCTCCCTTCTCTCTCCCTCTCTCTTTTTCTCTCCCCCCCCCCCCCCCACCTTCTCTCTCTCTCTCTCTCTTTTTCTCTCTCTCTCTCCCTCCCTCTCCCTCTCTCTCTCATACACACACATACACACTCACACACACGCACACACACACTTCCCGCAGACAAAATTGCACGCTTTTAACTTGAGTGCGCTTGAATTTTAGTTGTTAGTTTACACTTGTGTATCACGAGCCGTCATGCCGCTAACACAAGGTCGCGCCCAAGACTCGCCCAGACGCGAGATAGGGCAATTGAAACATCCTGGTAGGCATATACATTTTTGTCCGTATATATCCTAATGCGTTGTTTCGTAATTGAGAGTTCATACGGGGGCTCTCATGGCCTAGAGGTTAAGGTGTTGGCCTCTCATTCAAAGGTCCCTGGTTCGAATCCGGGTAGTGACCAAAACATTTTCTTCTCTAAATTTGTCCCCTTTCACCTCCTTTCCTGCTCTCTAGCAATGTTCTGTCGTCTGCTTTTTTCTCCTCTTTCTGCCCCCACTCCCTCATCTCCTGGGCTCCTGTTTCTTTCTACAGCCTTTCTACTGCTACTCCTTGGCTTCTTCTTACTGCTGTCTTTCAGCCTCACCCTTGATCTACTGGTAGGAAAGATCTACACCTAGCCTTCTCGGACAAGGTCAAAAAATCTCAGAGGGCACGTGTGCAAGTTGCGCACGTTAAAGATCCCTTGGTGGTCTAAAATTGATAAGAGTAGGCTTCGGCCGCCACCCGGGCTAAATTCAAAATTTCCGACCAACTGATAAAGTTTAATGTGTCCTGCGCATATGACCTCATGCAGTTGCGATCACCGTAAAACACTTACAAAAACAAAAGCAAAGTTCGTACTGGCAAGCTCAGTGTAAGGGAAAACGACGAATGGTCAATCGGTCAAGGATCACTGTTTCGTTTTCCTTCATCTCATGGGATGGAAAATTTGAAGCAGGCCAAAATATTAAATTTCATATACGTCACTGTTGTCACTGACTTAAACCGGCAGTGGACGCCCCGTCTAAACGAAGCTTGAGTGCCGTGAACGTAGCCTCAACGGCGCCTGCAAACTGCTTTTACGACGCTGTGAACGTAGCCTGCCAACTACGCTCCTACGTTCACGGCGCCGTGAATGTTGCCACTGCGTTTTTATAAACTCCTCCTTCTGGAAAATAGACATGTTATCATGGGGAAAAAAATAATTCTTGTGGGTGGTTGGCGGATTCTTTTTTGTTTGTTACTCTCCTGTAACACCTCTAATCTTCGGCATTTATATGACCTTATTGTGTTGCTGTAAAACTCTTACTAAAACTAAAACATTCTAGGGAAAAGAACTTTGGTTCAATGTTTGTGCTGAATTTTTATTGTTGGATGTATTGTTAATGCAGGGATGTGGTGAGGTTGGCAGTATGCAAAGTATGCAGTATCTCAAAGCTTTGTGTTTTCCGGGCTTCTGTATCAAAAAGTTTTACTTTGCTGTCGTAGAGTGGAACCATTTATGTCTTGCCCTATATTTTAAAAAAAGGATTACACTTCCAAATTTCAGTCTGCTATGAGAACAAGAGGTTTTGGACAGTCAAATTAGAATGTGTAAAAAGTTTAGAAAGGTTGTTTATCTAGACCTCCTGCCTGACACTGACACAGTCCTCAGCAACAGTGACAAATCAGGTTTTTTTAAAGCATTTGCCATAGGAAGCAGGGAGTACATATATATTATATCCTAATGATACACATGTTTTCACATTGTGCATTCTCTCAGTACTTTATATTCTTTTCTACGATAAGATCATTCTCACTACTTTTCTTGAAAGTGTAAATCAGATTTGGAAGCGTCACTTTTTGGTGTCAGGAAGTCATTCTGAAGTTACTTTCTTGGTTTCAAGTCATGTTACGTGCATTACTAACAAATTATCGAATTGGAAAAAGTCACCATGGTGTGTATTACTTTTCTTGGAAAAGCGTTTTGGGCATAAAACTGAAAATGATAAACATTACAGTAATATAGATTCTAAAAGGAATGGATAAAGTAACTAACTAAATCAGAGAATATTGCCCTGTCAAATAAGTGTTAAACCTTGATTTAACAGTTAAGGCTTTTTTTTATCGTTCAACTTTGTAAAATAATTTTAGGATGGGTGCTTCAGTCTGCACAATTGTTAGATTGGTGCAGTCTTTTTTTTTTCTTCAGGCATTCAGCTAATAGATTTATATTATAAAGTTGATTTTGCTTTTTAGTCTGGGTTAGGAAGTGTACACTAAAGCGAGGTACTAAGCCAGACCATTATGTACTGTTGTGTATGACATTATTATTGAGTTACAACATAGTTTTGCCATTGCCTTAAGTTTTTTTCTTTCTACCGTTTTCTTTCCCCTTCCCTGTTCCCTAGATGCGAAACCTTTGCGAGAATATGGAGTGGAGGACAGCTGCAAGATAACCCTGGTCATCAAAAAATCTGTCTTGAAAAGCACTGAGGCATCTCTACCTACCACATCCCCTCAGAAGATTTGGCACTCACAGCCTGAGAGTCCGGTCTGGGAGAAAATGAGAGTCTTTCTACGCCGTCATTTCCGAGAGAGTGATATTGAGGCTGTATTAAATGCATTTCGAGAGGTAACAAAAATTACCATAGAAATTCTGTATGGTATGCTTGTAACATACATGTCTGATTGGTTCTGCATTTTCAATTCACATTTTCAAAGTAAGGCTATTTTGTGTAAATAAAAGTATCATAAGATAAATCTTTATTGTCTGGGTCCTTCCTGGCACATTAGACTAGTTTGGTGTTTCATTGTGGACTCATACGCACATACACTCACACACACACATGCATACGCACCTGCGTGCGCATACCCATACACACACACTCCCTCACACATCCTCGCCTCCACACAGATTTGTGCACATTTTGTATAATAATACAATAGTATGCTTGCACTCACAAACAGGCTCACAGTCACACATAATATAAATGAACAATAATTGTTAACATTAATAATGTTAAGCTAGCTACATAATCAGTATTCTGATTGTAACCCAATGGCATTCTGTTATTGCAGGCGTGAACCCCTTTGTTGCCGTACTTGGTACGTCATGCAAATGCCTAATTTTCAGCGCTGTGCCGTCTCAAAAGTTAAATAAAAGACGCACATATCGGTACCAAATTCGCTGGTATTACTTTACTGTTAGGCTTGCAAGCGATCGATAAACACAGATCTAGCTTTGCTGGGGGCCGTGTGGTCTCTTAAAACGTAAACATCGAAATGACTTTTAAAAGGCAAATTAATTCACTTTTTGATTTAGATTTGCAGGTTATTTAAAATTATGAGTAAGGTGGAAGGAAATTGGGAATAAGAAAAGTGACAAAAGTGACACAATCGAAGATGTGGGGTTCGAAATATGTTACAAGTGCGCTAGATGTAGACTGCACGTCCATTAACACTGAGACGTGAGACATTAGGGTGCTGTTCCGGTAACGAGCTCAGCTGAAAATCAGAGCTGACAGTAGGAACGCATACCTCCTGTCAACGAAAGGATTAAAGGTCATAGGAGTGCTTGTATTGAAAAGATGATTAAGATGATAGGAATTTAGTGGATGATGGTGAACATGACCGTCTGTATCTTGATTTGTTACAAATCAGAAGCCAGGTCTTTTACATCTGACTGATATTTTTATTTGACGGAACAATGGATGTTTTGTCCAAAACTATGGAATTGATTTTTCAAGTGCAAGCAATAATAAGTTATAAGTAATTCATGGAAGTAGGGGAATGGAGATGTTGAAATTTTGCATGTTTTCTGAAGTAATCAATTCATTTTTTCTATATTTTGATGTCTTGGGTTCCCGGCCCATGCTGTCAAACAGAAATTGATCATGCTTTTCTATTGTTGAATGCTAGAATCTGGACAGCAATGATTTATCAACTTTGAAATACATGGAGTTTCCTGAGAGAGAGTGGTCTGTATTAAAGCTTGTTGAAAATGGAAAATTGCGTTTGTAGAGAGTGGTATTAGTATTACATGTATAATCTTTGGCTCAGCACTATGAAAGTCTTATATATATTTCTTTTCTGAGCCAGTGTTCACTTATGAAATGGAAATTTTACTTTAAAACATTTAGGACCTGATTCTTGAACCATCATTAGGAATTTGGCAGAATTGTCACTATTTTTATTCAATTTTACGAAAATACAATCGTAATACCCCTGATTCCGATTTTTTAGAATTTTGGTGATCCCAACTCGCTGCCAACCTTCCTGGTGTGTTAAGGGGGGAAAAACTACAAGATCCGGACTATCGATGCCACTATGCCATGTGTTGATGGCTAACTTGAGCTTCTTCTTTGCCTTGAGCCCTTGTAGTCGCTCAGTGCCACTTTACCCGTAGAAAAACATTAGACTTTAGAAGTACTAAATCCAGGAGTAAGGTAATCATTTGGTTGACAAGGTGTTACAAATTTTAATTCCTGTCCTTTTGTGCTGTGTGTGACAGCCAAGGCCAATGAGAGATTTTTAAAAAAATGGATCATCGTTTTAAAACTTAATACAATAGCTCCCTTTTCTGCCCTGTTTTTTTCTTAACTCGACTAGTGACGAGCCGGTCAAGTCGCTTTTTTCATCATGCCTTTATTTACGTTACTTTTGCATTTGCTTGGCTACAACTTCTGTCCTTGACACCCAAGGGAAGAAGATGATCCATGCTCTTGTTACGAGTTTTTAAGCAAGATTACTAATTTTTTATTTGTTGATTACTAAAACAAATGCTGGTGGGTGGGCAGCCCTGCTTTAGTTGAAGATGAAAAACACAAAAACAGTTTTTCTGATTCAGAGTTATATAGCATTGTAATAAAAGGTGGGATACTTTCCTCTCTTGCTAAAGCACCTGCAATAATTCTGGGTTTCTCTCTCTTTCTCTCTCTCTCTTCTGGCACTGTGGCTTCATAAACAGTCAGCGATGCCGACAGTTCTGAAAGTGGGTTACTGAAATGTCCCAGCAGACGGGTTGTGGCACGATAGGTGGCGGGACATCTCAGGAACATATGGTCCATAGTTTCGTCCTCCTTGCAGGCTCGACAGGACGGATCTAGGTTGTCTGCTGGCGCAATTTTGTGGAGATATGATCTCGGCTTGGGCGATTTTCCTCCAGTTCTCATTTGAGAGAGAAGCCGGCGGTCCTGTCGTCTGAGCGAGGCCTCAAGCTGGTATGAATATGGCGGCTGGGCAAACGGCAGTTTGGGTTTCGCCTCTCTCTTCCACTTTGCGCGAGTCGATCGGTGGATGACGGCTTTAGCTGTCTAGAAATCGATTGGCGTGTCAATCTGGGTAAGCGCTGTTGCTTCTTTGGCGATGCTGTCAACTTCCTCGTTCTCAGCCAGTCAAGCGTGGCCTGGAATCCACTGTAAGTGGATGGAACATTCGTAGCGTTGACAGAGGGTGTGCAGATGCTGCCAGATTGAGCACGCCACCTTTTCCGATTGGTTGGTAGGGTCGTATGAGAGGCGCATGTCTGTTGACCTAGAATCAGTGTATACATGAATGCGTACACTGTTCGGAAGGCTGCCTGCTGTATGTAGTGCCACAAGCATGTCTAGCGCTGTATCGAGAGCTACAAGCTCGGCCCTGTAGCTGGAACAATACCGGCCCGCGGGTACACGTTGGTCGAGTTCAGTATCACCGGTATTGATCAGTATTCCACTGCCTCCATACTCGGTACCGTGCTTAGCTGAACTGTCAGTCCACGATTTCTACATCAGGCTGGGGGATCGATCGAATTGTAGCCTCTGCTGCTGCTTTCCTGATGGCTGGTTCATTAGCACGCTTGCAGTCGACAACAAGATCAGTGCTAAAAGTCATGTTGCATGATGCAGCCTTCCACGGTTGTGTGGGGGGTAAAACAACCAGCTCCTCACGTGGGTATGTATCCAGTACAGTTTCAGCTTCGAGGTTCTGGGCATGCTTTCTCCAGTTCGACTTGCCTGTCTGCGTGGGCACTGATTTTGTTGCGGAGGCTCTGCGTTGGTTTGTTGCAGGCAGGCGCATGAACTTCTTGAGTGAGATGGCAGTCAAGGCATCAGCTCTATGCCTTAGTGGTAAAATGTCTGCTTCGATGAGGAGGCTGTCCACACGAGTATCCTTTGAGCAGCCCGTGATGATTCTTGCTGCTTCATTCTGCTTTCTTTCCAGTTTCTGCAGGTTGGAGGGTTTGGCAAGAGGCATGTAGGCAGGGGCACAATAGTCGATAGCTGACCGACAAGTAGCATAATATATTGGCTTTATGCATTCCCTTGAGGCACCCCAGGTGGTGCCTGTAAGGGCTTTCAATGGTCGAAGTCTGCTTGACAATTTTAGCTCTAGGTTTTGGATGTGGGCGTTGGAGGATAAAGTACGATCAAGTGTGACCCCGAGTAAGTTGGGATTGGAGTTGAAGGTGATGGGGGAGCCTTTGAGCCAAAGTGCTGGTTTTCGCTTGGCCTCATGAGTGCTGGTGGTGAAGAGGGTGCACTCTGTTTTCTCTGTACTGATCTGCGTCTTGTTTTGTTTTGCCCACTGCTCTAGTGAGTTTATGGCTGCTTGGACACTGTTTTCAGCCTGATTAATGTCTTCGTTGGTGGCGTATGTTGTATAGTCATTGGCATAGAGTCCCGTCTTCACGGCTTCAGGCAGGCCTGCTTCAATATCATCAATGAAGACAAGGAACAGTGTGGGGGACAGGACGCTGCCCTGGGGGACTCCCTGCTCGAAACGGCGAAGCCTGCTTGTTGCGTTGCCATGCTCAACACAGGCGTATCTGTCTCTGAGGAACGAACCTATCCATTGGATAATGCAGCTGGGAGTAGATTTCTCAATCATCTTCTCCATTAACCTCGTGTGCCATACCTTGTCGTAGGCACGTGAGAAGTCCACGAGGGCTAGCACAGTTCGTTGCTTTTTGGGACGAGCCTGGGTTTGTGTAGGCCTGGTGATTTGGTAACTTTAGAATATTCCTCAGAGTTTTTTCTTACCTAATTGAAAGGCAGGTAGGATTTAGCTAGGATTTAACGCTATCAGTGTCCCTGTTTAAACATGAAAGAGACTTCAAAGTAGAAAAAGGAAAAAATCATTGTTATATTAAAACTTTTGTTTCGCTTTCTTTTTATGCTGTTCGTGAATAAGCTGTCTTTTTTGTCCTCAGGAATTTGAACGTAACCTGTCCAGTTTGAGTCTTGATGACATTGAGCGATTTGCTATGACGAAACTGCGAGTGGTATGATGATCCGTGGTTCCGTGAAGTGGCATAGTTTGTACTGACATCTTGAAGGGCCCACGATGAGCAAAAGGAATATAAGAAAAACACTGGAACTTTCTGTGAAGGGGAAAGGACCATTCAGACTTTTGTTTGGTTATATTGCATCTTTGATAATATGGTTTTAAAATTCACATTGTGTAGATATCTAAAGTTGTGCCCCCCTCCCTCTCCAGAAGGTTGTAAGATGGTTTTAGATAAGTAAATATAATATAAATGATGGACGACTGAAATTAATTGTGTGTTTGCCCTTAGTGTTTCGTAGCGAAAGTTATTTTTATGTGTCAAATCTGGAAACCTTCGAGATTCATGTGTAAAGAATAAGCAAATTTAAGATTTGGATGATTCACCTCTTCACTATTTAGCCGTAGCCCACTGTGTAGATATTCAGTCCATTTTTCACTGTAAGGGGGTTAAAAGAATCAGGCTGATGGCGTGCAAAAGGGGACTCTGTAAACATTTCACTGGTTGTTCCCCCTACTTGGATAGAACATAAGAAATATTTAACCATTTTTCATCGAATTCAGAGTTTGTTTTTGACTGTGACGACATTTATTTTCCTGGCAGAATGCACTGCCTCTCATGTCATAAAGTGTCATAATACCAGTTGTATCCACCATACATGCGTGTAAATGTATGTCTGTTGTATGTTTGACCCTTAACCTTTACACATTTCATAGAACAGTCTGGAGGAGAATAACTTGGCTGACCATGGCTTGCTGTGAAGAGTAAATTTGTGTGAGTTTGTGCTTTTCTTCTTGTATGAGTTTTGAATGCAGTTGTTTGATAGTGTCTTTGACTTTTGCAATTGGTGTCCATCAATGAAGATGTAAATCTATTGATAATATTATTCACCTCATTTATTTCAAGGCTAAAATTTGATATATATGCAACCTTGACCAACTCTTGGCAGTGTGTGGGCCCATCTATGTGTTTTGAAATGTATTTATTGGTGTGCCTCAAATGTTTATGTGCTGCAGATGGTGATTGTGCATTGGTGAGACCTTGTTGACACCTTGCCTGTGCTGGATGTGTTGATCAGAGCCTGCATGAGTGAAAGACTGACACTTCTCTTGCTTTTTAAAAATTCGTTTCATTCATTTTCCAAGTGAAGAACCTACCTGTTTTGTATTGTTGAAGTACTGTTGTGTCTCATCATTTGGTTCCTCGGTTTCCGATTAGGTCATCAAATTCCAGTATTGCTATGTCAAGTAAGGCTTGACATGGGTTGTTGGGTGTAAGAATGTTGAAAGTATGAGTTGAGGAATCCAAATTTTGACCTAATGGTGGTTTGAAAGTTTTCTGTCCAGGTATATGACATGTGTCTTTAATAACAAAAGGTTTGCGGAATGGAAATCAGAGATCCTTTCCTAGGCGGGACTAGAAAATGTTTTATTGCTTTCATAGTTGATTTGATATGGAAAACTCGGAAGACTCTTTTAAACCATCCATCTTTAGATGTGCTGACAGGTGGCTGCCCAGGCCATGCACAGGGGTATAGTAATTGGTAGCTTGAATGCAAAAAAATTGGTCCCTATAAACTATAAAGTCAAAAAGCAACAACTCCAAAATTACATTTTTGTGGTAAAATAAACTCAAAGCCTTGTATTTGTAAATATGGGTAGATGAATAACTAAAGAATCACTTTTTATTGGTACTCAATTTTTGTTTTAAAAATTGATTTTTGATCCTTATCGCCCTTTTAACTCAGTTTGAGCAAATGTGTCTTGCGGTACCTTTCTCCAGGCACACACACATATAGATATATGCATGTCTATATACACCTGGGAGGCTTTAGTGAGAATTTTTAATTTCCCCTCCTCAGATAAGCTTTTTATTGCTTTTCTTTCATGAAAGTGTAATGTGTGTCACGGTGTAGTGGAATCAGGCGCTCGTCAGTCTTTGGGCATGTGGAGTTATTAATATCTCATCTTAAAGCTCGTACATTTGTCTCATTTTCTATGAAAATACCCATCTATCTTGAATGGAAGTTCAGATATTTGCGATTGAAGGAGATGGGAGTCGCCTGGTTTCAGATATTGGTTCTACTGTTTGTTAAAAATGGCTGTGGTTGTGTTTTGGGGGTGGCTTCTATATGCCATATGGTCGTTGAAATTGTGTCCTAGAAGAATTTTTTTCTAATGAAGTTTTGATAACTGAGCTGTGTGGCTTGTTTTTAAAACTTGAAAGTCAGGCAAGTGTACAAAGGACAGCAGGCGTGTGTACCATGGTCTGTGTTTAGATCTGATTTGAAAGTTAACCAAAAAAAAGATCTTATCTGTATAGCACAAATCCCTTCTCAACAGCAAGCTCTATGGGCTTTAGTCAATATCATTACCCCAGCACACCCTATAACACTCAGAAACATTCTAGACTTCCCGGGAGCATACAATGCATGCAGCTGATTAAGCGCTCAGACACTAACAAACTGACAAGGTCTTTTGTAAAAGTTTATGGAATTTTTGTGTCATGTCCTTTTCATAATTTCATATGATACTCTTTTTTTTCCCCCTTATTTTTCTACCCTGTCTATTTGGATTCCTTAGTTTTATCGTTTCATTCTCGTCTTAGTCTTTGGTATTTTCAAAGATATTTTGTGAAATCATGCTTTTTCCCTTGATGTCTATATTGTAGAGATCATTATTTTTCCTTGTTATATTATGTTTCTGTTAATTTTCTACGTTGCCCTCTTAATTATCAGAAAAGCAGGATTGAATTTTCCTGAACACATTTCCTGAAAGATTGAGTCAATGATTCTTTGCCCACGACAGGGGATAGATGTAATGCTTACAAAATAAGAGGACACAGGACAAGTTGCTGGTCTGAATCATTTATCTGCCTATCTTATTTTCAGTTTTAAAACTCGAGCTGTCCTCATCATTGCAATTTTTCTGGCCTATCAGAGTGCTTCTTTTGCTGCTTGTGGAGCTTTTTGTTTCATTCACTCTTGTGCTCACTGTTTCTTTGTTCTGACTTTTCTTTCTACCTTTCTTTCTTTCCTTCTTTACCCCTCGGAGGGATGCTATTGATTGAAGTGTCTTTAGGCCATTTCCAAAAGAGGGACTTTGACCATGTTCTTATGCACTGTAGAATTGTAATTGTAATTCAACAATGTCATGCTCATAACTGACTGTGCCTGAACTGCAACAGGGAACTGCTGCTTTTTCTTTCCTAATCCTTACTATCGTCATTTTTCCCCTACTTCTTTTGTATGTTTGTCACACTCGTGTGACCCGCTATCTTCGCGGTGCCTTGATAGTGGAAGCAGACTTTGCGCTGTTGAAGCTAGAGAGGTGAGCAGAGTAAGCCTGATTCCCTATTAGGGCTTCTCTGTTGACATCCACCCCTTGGCACTCATATAACCTAATGCTAGAGACGGGCGGGAAGCGCCTTTTCCTTCCCGAGTGAGAAGACAGAGAAGCTGACCTACTTCTCGCGGGGACCGGTCCCGGGAACGAGAAATACTTCCCGTCTTGTGTCTCGAGCAATTCTTCTTGTCTCATGACCAATTTCTCTTCTCGCCCCACAGTACAAGCAACTCGTTTAGCGGGAAGGCCGGTCGTGGCGGGGATCTAAACTTAGAAACTAGGCTTGCCCTGTTAGGCAGGCGCAGGCGGTGAAGGAAGGTAGGGAGACCTAGGCCCTGATCAACTCCCCACTCGCCTCGTCTCGCCACCCTCTCCCCTCCCTTTCAGTTTCACACACAGGACGGCTCGGTGATGGGTGGCACTGTCTGCGTTGTCATTTCTCGCCTCTCACTCTCTCACTCTCGTTACTGTTACTCGTTATGTCAAGCCAACGAGCAGTATCACGTCTCGGTACCAAGCAGTAGTTTAGTGCCCGGGCAGCGACGGGAAGGGCATTAGGTTGCCAGTGCCGTAAAACCTCTATGAAAACCCCAAAAAAATTCTTTCTTTCTTTCTTTCTTTTTTTGTTGTTCTTGTTGTCCAAGTCTGTTATAGTTATATGGAGAAGTGTAAAAGTGTTGAATTAGTTTTGCTGACAGGTCAAGAGCTATTTACTTAATAACAACTCTTCTCTGTAATTGATTAGTTTATTTTAGTATTTAACACATTAAGAAGAACATCAACATTTCTTTTTGGCCCTATGTTATATTTATTGACTGGGTCAGCTGCTTGTGTATAGCTTTCAGTGTTTAAAAAAAATTCAAGACTGATTAGTTTACCTTGGATATTAAATGTCTGCACAATTTACTTTTGACCCTTCCTTGAAAGTTGTTTAAAATGCTGAAGTTGGAAGAGTAGTATGGCAATTTGTTTTTGCTTTTTTTTTTCCATGTAGGGATAGACCAGAATGAGATTTGTCATCGCAGATGCCGGTATTGATCCCGTAGGTTGTGAGATTTTTCTGATCTGCTCAGTGACAGAAAAATTATGTTTGCACTCTTGTAGCAGCTGTCGACATGTTCTATATATGGTTTTGTCTACATTACACTGGAGGGAGGGAGGGGGAAGGTGTGGAATTGGCGTCTCAGATCCCTCAGAGCAGAGCACGCAGAATATGGTTCTGAAGCCTTCTCCAAATATCCACATAGGTGATACACTTATACCATGGACTTGTTAAATGAGATTTTTTAAAGAAATGAATAGTATAAAATCATAATGCTATTACTGTGATCAGCAATGTACACCAAGTTCCTAGAAAGTTGATTAGTCACTCAGTATTCAAGTCAGTTTTGGTTTGACAGTTGCTTGAAGTTCATTATATATGTGATATTCTGTGCTCTATTCTTTTATTTGTAAGTTCATTTTGAGAAACAGAGGGTTGCTTTGGATTTTTTTAGGGGGGGGTGTTGAGAGTAAATGCAAGGATGTGGCATCTTTGCTGTCAGACACTGTGGGCATTGTATGGCTTTTAAATAATAATTTCATAATTTCATAGACAGCTTGCTTGCTTCATATCTTACTTGTGCATGGATATTGGATTGTTTGGTGACTTAAAAAGTGTCGGTACATGTACTCTGTGATTTTTTTTAGACACTCTAATACCACTTATGGCATGATCTTTACATTCATAATTAAATCTTTGCAGATAAAATGGGGACATGCTTATTTGTGGTCGGTGGAAGCCAGCTTCCAAACCAACTCAATAATGGCTGATCCTAAGGCACATGCATTTTTCGCTCCATTTTGTCCATTTACTACTCATTTACCTTCTGAAAAGTTATGTTAAAATTTATAAATTTCACGAAATTAGTAATTTTTGTTTTTAAAAATAGTTACCTCCGTTTTAAAAAAAGTTTAACTTGAGATTTGATTACTATAATAGTAGTTGAGTCTCAAGTGAAGCTATTTAAATGTGTGGGTGTATATCCTTCTTATGTCATCTTCTCAAAAAGGAGTTCCAAAAACCAGTGACATTGTGACCAAACTTGCCATAAATTGGGCTGAGTTATAACAGGCTTTCTTTCACTGTGCTTGGTGTGGATGCTAACATCAAAAGAGTACACGAAGTGACTGATTGCTTTCTTGTACATTGGCAGATTGTGAGTGCTTGATGTCTTATGTGTACTTGAAAGGATTGTATACTTCTTTGTACATGGAGTGATTGAGAGCTTGATGTCTTGAACGTGAAGTGAGTATTTTTTTGTACTTCAACTGATTGGGAGCGAGATGTCTTACTTGTATGTGTGTTTTATTTTGGCTAAAAGTTTTATGTATCGGTTTGCACAGACTGTGTAATTTATGTTTTGCTTGTATCGATTGTGAGTGTTTTGATGACCAAGTCAGCTTTTCATGCACTGCTTTTTGTTTGGCCAGGAGAGGAACGCATCGGTTTTGCAAGACTGCTGAAGTGTGGTGAAAGGACACTAATGCAATTACAAAATGGTTGCAAAATGTCAGTGCATGGAGAGAGGACTTTGCTCGTCCATGGACTTATTGAGTGCTTGATATCTACTGCCAACTGGTTATTTGAATGTCTTTGGTGTGGCATCACATGGCCTGAAACGATGTCTTGCAGAATAATGTATGCACAATAAATAGTATACTTATGAGAAGCAAGTGGCATAACTGAATAGATTGTGCTATTTGTAAAGAAGTTTCTTCACCTCAAGCAAGCTTTTTGGTTTGTTTGTTTTTATGAATACTTGCTCTTATTTCTATGTGAATATATGAATTTTACTTCGAGACACTAGGGAGAATAAACAGCCCTTGCGGAGCAACACCCCTCACTTTTGTTGTCAGTGAATGTGTTTCAAAGCTTTCTGTTGATTTTGGGTAAGCGGGCATGATATTAGTTTTGGTAGGTCTTATGTCTACTCTATCAGTCTGTTAGCTTTGTTTTGTTTTTTCCTAGCTGAAAACTTTACCATTGTGAGATCGGTAAAAGTAAACTTGGAAACTTACTTGACCTAGTTCACACTTTCGGGGTCTTCACTTTTTTGTTCGGCCTCTTTTGGGTTGCCATGACATCATGCACAAAAGACTTTTATTTAAGAAATCGGGATTCAAATTTACTTTTAATCTTCTATCTATTCTGCTTTTTTATGAAACAAATTAGGTCAATGCTTTTCATAATTAAGACAGACACATGGCATCTGTTAGTAAAGTAAAGGTTGGCCCCGGAGTTGCGTTATTTTGTTACGCACTCTCTGCCTCTTCTATGCTCAGATGGCGGTACATGTAAGAATTATTTCTCACATTCTTCCTGGAACATATCCGCCTAGCAAAAAGCCCTGATAGAGACCAAGTGCTGTGCCTTCGAAATGATTGTCATTGTGTCTTGTAGGGTGTTTACACAACAGTAGCAACAACAACAACAAGTGGAGTTGAGGTGGAGCGTGTCCATTTTGTAGTTGTCATGGCGCTCATAGAAGTACAAAATGTACCAAATAGTTTAGTCTAGATCTTGCTCTGAGATTGAAATTATTTCTGAATCTTAAATTATGTCTACATCTTGAGGCTGTTGGAAGGTTCTTGCCTCTGAGATGGATAAGACATCGGTTCCTAAGGGGTATGATTATGACATAGTGTTTTACAAATACATGTGCAGAGAAACCACGTTTTTTTATGTTTTCCCCGTTGTTTCTCATGTATTTAATCAGTTTTCCCCTCGACTGGATGTCTTTCACAACATAAGCCCGGGGCTGCTCCTAGAACAACTATGTAAAACCGTAAAACCGTGGTTTCTCTATTACTGCTACTGTAGGCCTTTGTAGACTAGGCTACCTATTCTCCATCGTTCGGTATTTATAGGTCAGAGTTGACCCCATTCCAACAGGTCAATGGACTAGAAACTGGCTGCTGGG